GTTTCAAATCAAGATTCTTTTCCTTTAGTCTTTGTTAGCATCAGAATGGTTGCTTTCTCTATCATTATCCCTTGTTTTATTTCTATTCTGCTTTTCACCCCCCCCTCTCATTTTATCTCTCGCTCTAGCTCTCTCTCTTTCACTAGCTCTCTCTCTCTCACTAGCTCTCTCTCTCTCTCTCTCCCTCTCTTTCTCTCCATCCCTCTCTCTCTCTCTCTCTCTCTCTCTCTCTTTCTCTCCATCCCTCCCCCTCTCTCTCTCTCTCTCTCTCTCTCTCTCTCTCTTTCTCTGCTGAGAGCTATTCCCATCCTCCCCACCTCAATTGATTGTTCTCCCTCTTTTCTACCCCCATCACTTTCTTGTACCCCCTCCCTACCCCATGCATGGTACCTCATGGGAATGTTATCTTGGACTGTATCCATCATGACATGATCAGGTCACTGACTGTGTTGACAGAAACATTCAGATACGGAATTCATTATATTAAATATTTGTTTTACTGGTATAGTACCACCTGAAGTAATGATTTAAAGAAACAGATACATTGAATGTGTATTGCAAAAATGCATTTGAAATGTCTAATAATATCTTTTATGTGCCTGGCCTTCCTTTCATGATCACAAATCTCATTATTAGGTTCTCTAAATCTAATGTGAAAATAATTGCCCTCAATAACCTTCTAAACACTTATATTGTGCTTAAAATGTGACACAGTACAGCAATTAATAGATGTGTATGTCATTTAGTGATTCCCATGGGGGATTGTCCAAATACCCATCTTTCCTGTCATATACTGGATCCCAGGGACATAGAGATGGTATACAAAATAATGAAGAAGGACAGAAGTGACCCAACCTGTTTTTCTTCTATCCTGAAAAGTCTGGTCATTTTATGTCCAATCTGTGACCTCCTCCAACGCCATAGTCTTTCCTTTCTCTGAAAGTGATGTTAATATCCTCTTCTACTGCATCGATCATTTATCAGCTACAAGGAAAGCCATGATTATCATCCAGGCTTCTACGAGTATGAAATATGTCTTGAATTACGAGGATGTACCATTTGAATCGCCGATGACAAGTGTGCGGTAACCATCCATTTTTCTCCAGTTAATGAATAATGAATTATCCATTGTACAAAACAACTCCAGTGATGTTCACATTCCCCCTCCTCTATCTCCCCTTCCTTTAATAATTACCCCCATCGGTTCTGAACTTCCTGAAAAAATAGTTCATTGTCTCATTGCATTGAAGTCAGTCAAACTCCGCTATCCCCTGTCTCGGCTCATTTCTTGTTTTCAATCTGATGCTGCTATTTTACAATTTGGCACCAACTAGGAATCAGCTCTTTGACAAAGTATTTTTATGTTACGATTTAAAAAATACATATTCTTCTTTCATCAATTATATATTCGATGAGAATAGCTTTTTGAAGTGAGTTATCATTTCAGTCTACCAAAAAATGAGCTAAAATAGCGTTTTGTAAGACAAAAATAGCATTCTGTCCGTCATAAATATAGGGTTCTGTCAGTAATTTCTAGGTCATTACTCAATCCGTTCCAATAACAATTCTTAACCTGTAATACCCCTTAGTCATCAGCCCCTATTAAGGTCAGGCTGTTTATATCTTAGGACGGAATACAAAACTTGTATTAGATATGAAAATAACTAGTTCTGTTCGGCGCCAGGTAAAGACAGATTGAATATCCGTTCAGGGACCAGGTTCGTCCGATACAGGTGTGGGCATTTAGTAATTTAAATGCTATCATTGAGTCATTATAGAGTCTAATAGCTGACATCTAGCTCGGCATGATGAGTGATAGATGTGTAATAAGGACACTTATATCTTGCTGAATTTGTAAAACATAAATACAATTTATTCATTTTTATGTTACAATTGTGCTCAATTGTATACACCCATTCTGATGCTCAACCAAGTCCAAATCTTGTTTTCACCTGAAAAGTAATTTGTGTATAGGTAAAATGTATATAATCAACCTCAGAAAGACTTTCTCTAGCATTATATAGATAAATGGTTAAGAGTATGAAGAAAATAAAGTATAACTTACAACCCTGCAAATAGGGCTCTCACTCATACAACTGGAGCTTGGACTTGGGTTCTGTGTGCGCCCTATTCTATGTGAGTGCATGCACACGCATCTTTGTAAGGAGAAATATTTGAAACTCATGGTTTGAACACGGTATAGCATGTTTGCAACATGGATGATCTAGTGATTGGTACACTTTAACCTCGTTTGACAAGCAAGGGATTTCAGTTTTTGTAAGAAGTAAAAAGTAAAATGTGAGACTATGAGCAAATTTGTTTGTTGGCTTGAAATTCAGACATACAAAATTGTTTCTGTTGCCCCTTGTATGGAGTTTGTCATCATCATTCATATAAAGTAACCACCACCCCTCCCATATTTCTTCACACTTTAGGTCTTCCACACAACATGAAAAGGTAGTTTTACCAAGGAGGTACTGTAGGATTTCTCCTTGATTTTAGAAGTGATTTGACAAAGTAGAACAAAGTTACTAAGGAAGAAGTTTGTTGCACCTCTGGACGTTGCCCTGAATTCGGAAACCGTGAAGCGGATTCAGCAGGGTTTGAAATGAGAAGATGTTGACGGGTAGTAGATGACCTGAAATTGGTTCCTGATTCAGTGATGTGCCAAAAGCGTCTTTGCTGTTCCGAACAAGGGCTAACCAACTGTGTTTCATGCAATATATCATACAAGCTATACAAAAATCTCCTACCAAACACAAATTAACTGTACATCCACCACCCACCTAGCTCTTATCGTGTTACAAAATCTGCAATTGTGCCAGAGATGCAACTTTTGTTTGTATTAAACAGTTGTTGGAATTTCGAAATGGAATATCAAGACAATTGTTTAAATTCAACTTTTAAGAATTTAGAAAAAGAAAAGTCAGCACACCATTCAGCAAGTTTGAAAAAAAGTGCTTCTGAACAAAAAAGTACAGGCCACTACTGAAACTTTGAAATGTTTAAGAAATGTTCAGAAAGTTTGGAGTGCTGCCACAAAATAAGACCTACTGTCATTATTGAGCAGGTGATATCCACTACATCAGTAGGATGAGACAGTGTATCATAATTTATTTGGCAGAGGAAAAGTTCCTCTGACATACATGAATGATGTAAACAGTTGCAACAAATAGACATATTAGGCTTGTAATTATTTTGGTTACCCCCCAAAGGTACATCAATCAAGGGAGAATTGGTGAAATGGATTCATCATTCAATACAGGCTCAGTTCATATAAAACCTTGGATTTTGTTTTTTAGTTTTTACCTGGCAATGATTACTTCTTGTTTTTTATTTTTCATGCTACAATATTTTTGTAGACATTCTTCATAATCTTACAAAGATTGTTGATAGATTGAAGGTAAGACATGAGAAGTGCAGTAGCTTAACGTTGACATTAATAAAGAAAAATCAATGAATGAATAACAGATAGATGACTTCAAAGACTGATGCCAATTTTTAGCCTTGGATTTGGGAAGTATTTTCTTCTATGGTGTTTGCTTGGTGGAACTGTGACACCGCTCTAATAATACAAGTTTCATGCACTTGGACACCCTTTACTTTCCATCAAACAAACCTTTTTGTACTGACTCGAAAAAAAGAGAGCAC